TAAAGTATAAATCTATAGGTACCTTGATCTTTTTCAGAAGCTCATATCCTGTCATCCCAGGCATGGAATAGTCAGTCATTATCAGATTCACCTTCAAACCCTGTAATCACAACCATCAAACAACAAATCTATGGTCAAACCAAATTCATCTTATCTTAAATTCAACAGAACACCACTTCTGGGATTCAAATTTCTGTTTTCTTTCATTTTCTCAGCAACCAAACAATAGATTAAATAAGTTTAACATATCTTACATTGTACCCCAAAGAGTGTTTCTCTCCATCCAATCCTAGAAACTGCAAGGCCCTTGTTCCACTCTCCACAGCCGTCACTGCAAAATCCCCAAACGCCAATCAATCATCAAAATCCACCCAAAAATCCCAACTTTCCCATCCACAACAAAAGAAAAAACAAAACCCACAAACCATACCTTTACAAGATGATATCTTCAGCAATCTCTCGATGATCTTTCTATCGGCGTTGCTATCATCCACGGCAAGAACATGCAACTCCTGAGACCCAGAAGCAAAAACCTCCCCGGCAGCCACCGCCATCGCCACAGACAAATATACCTAACCGAATTCCTTTGGGGTGTGTGGCGTTTTGTGAATCAAGCCCTTTTCTTATGCCCAAAAACGAGTGTACAATATCAAAAACATATCTGGCTGCTTTGGGTTTATATAAGAAAGAAAAAGATAAAAGGTGAAGATTCGGAAGATCGGATTTGGGAAGATTTGGGAAGATCTTTCCCACTCGTTTTCTTGTCCTTTCAATTAAATAAAAATTAAATGCTGTTAATAGGAAGACGAAATTAAACGGTTGGATGCTTTAATATTTATTTTGTTTTTTTCGTTTTTAACAGTTGAAGAACACTGTAGAATTGAATGTGGGGTGAAAACGGAAACCCGTTGGGGAAATGAAAAATGTGGGGTGAAATGGTTTGACCGACGGTCACGATCCGGAACGGCGGCGTCAGCCGTCAGAAGAAGGCGGGGAAAGCCGCCGGCCACAAATGGGTGGCTTCTGAAAGGCTGAAACCTTATACGGGCAGGTAATCTTAATGCGTGATTCGGTGACAGGGTGTGCTCCACCACCACTAACATGGTGGTGGTCCTGATGGAGACATGGGTGTGGTTATGTTAAAACCGATGAGTAAAGGGAAAATCACAATGTAAATGTCAGAAATGTTGAGGAAGTGATTGTTTTAAACTTTGGTCAATGGGTTTTTTTTTTTTTTTTAATGATTTTGATTATATAATGAGAGATAATTATCTCTCATCTATTATTTCAGTTTACCATATATCATACGATTCGAATTTAAGATTTCTTACTTTTAACAAAAAAAAATTATTATTGAATTATTTAAATCGTTAACTAGTTAATAATGAATAGTTATTGGTTTTAATTAAATGAATTAAATATTTTAAATTATAAATAATAATTATTATTAATTATTAATTATCAAATATCAATTATATTTAAAAAGTTAATCTAAACAACTATTTAATTATAATAATAAAATATATGAAATATAATATAAATCTTAGTTATATTTAACTTTTTAGAATACTATAGTTATAATATTATGTAAAATTATAAATTTATAATTATAACATAATATTAAATGAATATGACATATTTTTAAATGAATGAATATGTATATTATAATATATTATATTGTAAGTTTATAATATCATGTAATATTATAATTATAACATTTTTATATAAGTTATTATGTAACTTTGATTAAATATCTTAACATTTTTAATTTTAAGAGCTTTTGATTTTTCTCTTCTCAAAACGTTTGCAATTTTGTTTGGTTTTAAAATGCAAAATAATTTAGGAGGAATATTTTTTTTTTTTTGGAACAAGTTATCGAAGGATAGGATTCGGGGAGGGGGAATGCACCTCAAGCTAGCTGGGTATCAGTTGGCTCGAAGGACTAAGTGCAAATTAAGAAGAATATTAGTTTTTAAATTATAAATAATAATAATTATTTTCTATAAAATGAGTAGTTAAATCTTTAGTTGATTAATCTTATAAATACTTGTGAATAGATCCAAATCCTATCCTTAAAAGTGGTAAATGCGGTAAATGTGATGTATTTGGATATACATCAATTCACAAAGG